AGTAGACTTGCGCTTCATTGATGGCACTCTCTCCCCACCTGTACCCAGCGTCGTGACTAAGTCAAGCGAACCGGAAACAGGAGAGAGCGCGGGTGGCTGGTATAGAGAAAACTCCTACCTAGGCCTACAACCATATCCCTTGGTAAACATCAAACACTTAACCAGGACTTCATGCAACAGCAAATATGGCGGAGGTACCTGGAATCCCTAATGGCGCGGTGTGACTCTGCAACGGGGCCTGTCAACACGCCCCGAGTGTTGGCAATTATCATGCGTGGACATTCGCGATAACACCTGCTCGAATCCGATGTAGTCCCCGTGATAAGTCTATTGCGTAGCCTAAGGATACGTCTGCCTTGGTTGTACGAGCTGCCGGTTGCATTCACTGTCGCCATTTTTTCGCAGAACTCCCAATGCCAGATCAGCAGATTTTTAAGAAAGTATAATAACCTCTTCAATAGTTGTGAAAATGCGATTCCCAGGTGGCATATCAAAAGAAGAGGCGTTCACCGGGAGGGGTTTTTTGGAGGCCAGATGTTTCGAATAGTTGATTCGTCTACCCATCTTCGGAGACTGGCCAAAAGATCCGATCCCTAAGCAGGAGATGTCGGCCGTTGTCTGCCGACTTCAATGCAGCTGCGGAAGGTGCAACGACTTTGGGGAAACAGGCCGACGGCTGCAAACTCGAATGCATGAGCATAAGTTGACCGTGCGAAGGTTGGACCCAAATTCGGAGGTAGCAACCCATGCCGCGCAAAGGGGACACATCTCCAACTTTGACGCTGTTGAGATTGTGGGCCGGGACGATGATCATATAGCAAGACAGTTGCAAGAAGCCTGGATGTTCAATGACTGCTCTGTCAACGGCTGCATTAATTTGCCTGCCACCTATCCGGCTGTGCGGGCATTATTGACGGAGGGCAGTCACGACGCGGGACAATCGGGGCTGTCAGTCATCTCCGCGGCCGACGGGAGCGATTTAGGTCACGGTGACAGGCGTGTTCTTAAGAGTTCACTCGCAGCGTCTCCTTGGAAAGGAGCTTTGAGAAACAAAGTTCTCTTTTCGGTGGTCAGTGTGGTGGGTTTTGTGGGTCGTCCGGCAAAATTCTTTGCAATGAGCCTGTCAGGATACCTGTTTTCGCGAAGCAAGTCCTGGATTTTTCTAAGTTCCTCCTCGATACTATCTGTCGAACAAATTCTTCCAGCTCTTTGTGCCAAATACCTGACTAGCTTTCGTTTTTGTTGGAGAGATGCAAAACTAGCGAAGTTCGTGTATTGTCTAGGCCAGGTGTTCTTCCGATAGACGCTCCCTTTGATACTGTCGTCAGATCTCTTGTTTAGAAGAAGCGAACCGGCTGATCCAATCTCCAACGTGTATTTGATATACGGATGTGCTCGATTTACAGTCACTATACCCCGTTCGCATATAACTGTACCGGCCTGATGCGAAGTTATCGAAAACAACGTTCGCTCGCCACTTTGTCTTCTGAATATTGCTATGGGGATTTTCCCAACTTTAGAACAGAAAATAGACTAGATGGCGGTGGAGAGGCAGAGGGTAGAGGACCACAGTGATCGTCTGAAGGAGTGTTAGGGACAGCAGCTTGAGGCAGACCACGCTCACGGCCCACTTGCGAGTTCGCAGTGGATGCGGAACGTCTTCGTCTCTCGAGATACAACCCGGAATGTGACGTCGGTGGAGTGGTTCCAAAGGCCAGCGAACTCGATCACATCGGACCTAGCCGTACAAGTGCGCCTCCAAGTCTTTGGCGTGATAAGACTCTGAGAACGATGGTCTGGACGGAATGGAGGGAGTGTGTTCACATAAATTGTCGGGGACGGTGCGGGAGATTAGTAGTATTATCGACCGCACCGAGAGGCGTTGTCGAAATAATCTCACAGGGAACTCACACGGTGGCGTCGAACGCCAGTTCGACGGACGCATAGACAAGGAGCAGATGTTGGTTACGTTGCCCCACCTGAAGAAAACAAAACCCAGCCACCTATAATACGGGACCGGTGGTAATAGCGATCCGCAAAAACCCTGTCCCGTAAAAAGGGCTACTTAGGTAGTATGAACATTTCCCACTTCTTTTCGAAGTCTTCGTCGAATCTAATATATGTTGTAGGAAAAAAGCACAAAAAATGTTCGTTCTTTTGCTAATTTGATTGCAGATTATGTGATCTTCAAATTTTGTACCTGAAGAAAAGTACCCTTCGGTATTAAAAATGCTTCAAATTGTGAGATTTCCAGAGGTCGTGAAATGTCTATTCCAAAAAACACTGTATCTCTACATCTACTAGTGTCGCTTGTAAACTATGCGATGTGTCAAGTTCACAAAAAGTTCCGCGAAACCTGCACGGCATCCTCTCAGTAGCGCATACAAATGTATGATTTTCCTAAGACGGAAAATACACAGCTTGTAGTCTGGAAACTATGAGTGTAATTGTAACCGCAGGTCGGGCTAAAAATTAAACTTCGCTAGTTTCAAACCCCTACAACAAAGTCGAAATCTAGTCCGATATTTGGCATAATGAGCTAAAAAAAAGTTGCTCAACAGATAGCATCGAGGAGGAACGACCGGTAAAACCCGCCACACAGACGGCCGAAAATCAAACTCTGTTCCGTAAAGTTCCTTTTCAAGGGGATGCTGCGGGGTAACTTCTAAAGAGACGCCTTGATCAAGCTGTTTTGCGAACCTTCCCAGCGGCAAGGGTTCAAGTATCCTTCTCTACTAACCCTATTTTACGAGGAGAAGGTAAGGATAAGTTGCCACCCCAGACCACTTCAATGTGCATCTAGTCGTTCACTTGCTCCTGTGGAGCAGGTAATATCGATCGCACGAGTCGGCCCTTATCCAAGAGAATACGGTAACACCTCCCGGCATGGCTGGAACAAAGCGAAACTAGGAGCATAAGCAGGGCTATATTCGCGCGTGTTGTCGATTCCGGACATCATGTAGACCCCAATGAAGCGTTTCGTGTGATCTATAAGGTCCCATCTAGCTATCCTAAACCACTGGGACAGCGCTTGTTAGCAACAGCAGAGGCGGCCGCCATCAGATTGCGAAAACCAACCTTCTGCGCACAAAAAAACCACGCTCAGGCTCCGCACCTACAGTGGTCGAAGGTCGACTAACGCTACAACTCTCCCGCGCCCTTCCATTCTCGCCCCGCCCCTAACACTGACTGCTATTACTCCCCCCACATTCCCACACTCAGCCTGTGTTTTAAGGTGAACTTTAATCGATTTCTGTTATCACTGACGTTTTTACTTCTACCCCCTTCCCATATAATTGTACTGGCCCGACGAGAATTTATCGAAAGCTACGTATGCTCGCCATCTCGTCTTCTATTTGGAAATTGAAAAAGTTTTAGAGCCGCATTATACCCCTGCCTCGAGTACAAGATTTCAAGATTTGGCTTATAACCGAATGAAAAGGGTGAATGTTTACGTGCATGTCTTCTGCGAGATATACTGTCGCAGGGAGATCACGCAGATGTGAACTGGCAGTCCTGTCGCGGACCGGGGCATTTCCACTGTGACCCCGATACAAGCACGCCATGGTGACAATTTCTGGCCGTGGCATCTGACCTTTTTATCCGGTCTTATGCTTCGTTGGGCCATGAAACCAGATTGCCGTGACAACGGTGCTCCCCAGCCTCCCCGAGGTCGGCATTTGGCGGCCCGCTCCGACTACAAGTTAGAAATAGGCGTCTTCTCCTTCGTCACAGGATCCGAGTCTAGAGGTCATGCATGTCGTCGCTTCGCGACTAGCAATCGTTCGCCGATTTCGGCCGGGAGGATCTCTGGCACCCTATCTTTTCGAGAAGTGCTGTTTAAATGTTGGTGCAACACAATACATGGACGCGCAGTTTGGTGTGGTACAAAAAAGCGAGGACACTCGATGGGAAAACGGTTGGCAATCCTACACTACTACCGAGCCGAAGTCACATACTGGAAAGAGGCCGACGATCTTAACTCCAAGCGTCTGAAAAGATTGGTTAAATTCGAGCTCTACGCTGGTGGAACGTAAAAGCGGAGACGGATAAACAGGATTTTCGAGTTTAGGCAGTAGAATACGATCCAGGATGACCGACCAACAAGAAAGTAGATGACGCTCGAGGCAGTAAACCTTTGGTGCTACCGAAGAAACATATCACCTGTCCTCTGGTTGTACCTAATCATCTGGTTAGACTTAGATGTGTCGCGTGGCGGTGTGTAGGACCTAAGTTGGTAAACCCTAACCATCACAAACGTACAAAGTCCACCAGACAGATTTCCGTAACACCGAAAAGTCCGCCCTACCCTCTAACGGTTGACAAACATGAAATCGGCTAAGAAGAAGAGATCCCACCTACGTGACTGACAAGACTCCATTTCCCTCGCCGGTGAGTGGACATGTCACGATGAATACAACATATGAGGTGACAGACACATGGCTGCATATCCGCCGTCGTCGTCGGACAGCCATAGCCGACCTGACGACTGAGAAAACCTAGGCAGTCAACCTGCGATTATCAGATTTTAAAGTATGACGTGCTGTATCACAGATTAAAAGAAACAAGTCAACTTCGTAATGGTAGGATGTCCGCAAGGTAACACGGGATGGCATTCAACGATCTAATCTTAGAAAACGGCAACGGGCGCCCTGCTCTACCATGGAAACACAGGCTGCGTCCCTTGAAGGCAGAGGGGAATATGGCGACGAGCATTCTACTAGCTAATCCTCAATGCCTAGACAATCCAGCATTGCTGATTGAAAGTCACGGCGATTCCGAGGTGACTTCCACCTTTCGGACAACCAAAGAGCCACAAATTGGCAACGACACAATGGTTTTAACAAGGAGGTATTTCTATAGGGTCAGGATGAGACCTGGAGTAATAAATGCAAAATAGTCGAAAATAAATGCGTAAAAGGTAAAGGTCGCAGAAAAAAATCTGGAGAATGGCGGCAAGAGTACGAATCTGTTCAACTTCATCAAAATAGAGTGTATTGTCAGGGTTCGTCTGCCGTTCCGGCAAGGTCCTCTGCTGGAGGCTCAACTTCCTGGCCAGCTGCACCATGAAGGATGACGTTCTGTGCGGTGATGCATTGCATCCAATCATTTGATGATTTGCGGAAAGAAGTAAGAGCTCCAATGACACAGACACGGTCGCCCTGACACAAACCCCTTATTCTGTTTATGAGTGGCTGGTCGAAAACGTGGATTCTAAATTTTAAAAAAAAAACAGACTCAACAGCATGAAAGAAGACCTGAATCACTGACACAATTTATGGCACGGGTTTGTCTCTGCAAGTCGTCTGTGAGACTAACGCTGGAGACGTCTAGTTGTAACCGAAGCATCCTAAGACCCAGTATATTTTTTCATTCTTCCCTGTCTGGAAACTTGACTATGGAGTCGAGACGACCGCTTAAACGTGAGCACATACACATAAGACCTGGCCAGCAAATTATTCGAATCTGTTAGTGTCGTGAAGTTGGCAGAAATGCGCAGATGCCATCGCTCGCCGAAGCCGGGAACCATATTGAGTCCTCATGGAGTTAAACCCGGCTGCCTAGGCATTTTACCTTAACACGCGAATGAATCTGGATTGCACCGGTCATTTCATTGGCTACCACGGTTGAGGTAGCGCCAGACTTCTCTCAAGCGGCTCCAGACAAAATCTTCAAAACAAATGTTAACGGTGACTGCGTGAATAAGTCTGGGAATGAAGTACGTTGCTGAACCGTCCCGAAACACTGATTTACGGACGTAAGGCCGAACACCCGAGAATTCTTGTATGTGGCTACAATTTTCCGGACCGTCATCTCTATGTAGAGGGCATACAGATGACGGATGAATCGCGTGCAAGGTTTTTGAGATCCGCGTAAAAAACGCATGAACAGTGGGCAAACTTCGGGGTAGACTCTGTCTTTGAACACATTTTTTCAACAACAAAAGTGTTGATGTCCTTGAATGAAAACTTAGCAAATGCAACGTTGTAATGCCCAAAGCGATCTATAAATAAATCATTCGTCAGCTTGAAAAGTTTACTTTAACTACAGGGCGCGCACGCACTGGTACTGTGTGGACTAATTGCGTTCAAAAGCGCATCGGAAAACGGAGGCGGCACGTTTGGCGAACAACCAAAACAATCATTCTTCGCTGTGTGCATCCAGGAAGGGCGCTGTAGGTCGGGAGCTACTTCCCCAAACAGAAACAGGACAATCTGAACCCAACTGATTGTCCTGACGAGGACAGGCCTGCCAACCCCTCTTCTTGCCGGCTGGAAACCTGGTCTGAGATAGAACCTACTACAGGTCCTCGTCGACCGTGCTTTCACTTTCTATTTAGTCTAACCTGCCAACTTTCTGTCTTAATTCATTTTCAGCGTTGTTGTGGACGACAGCTGGGGGAACTGCGTGGAATAGGCAAACTCCGATGCAGTCGATTTCGCTGGTAAGATAGCTACGATTTGGCAGGCCTTAAGTGTGCCGAAATTGAGTAATAGGTGCTTTTATCAGTGATAAACTTACTCGACTTAGACATATAAACCGCATGAACATAAACTGGCGCACCGACTAATCAATTTGATCATAAATTTGTGATCGCGATAAAACATGCGCCCTAGAAGCTAATAGTTCGTTATGGCCACAGTCACAAACTTGATAACAAACCTGTGATATACCAATTTCATGAGAAAGCGATCAGCGCTACGGTAACGCGCACGAGTAAGAAGATTGAAAACTGCCAGTTCGCGGTCACCCTTCCATGATTCGATTGTAACGCCATTGGATGCGACACTGCCCAGCAGTGTGACCTATGATAGAGAAAAAAGGACAGATGCATTTGTTAAAAGTGGGACAGAATATGCCAGTGAAATTGAAGGAAGACATCAAAGCAAAGTACGCAAAACGCACGGTTTCTATAAAAGAGCGTCGACTGTGTGTCATCTGATACGTTACTTAGGTCGCGGTTCGGAGGAAACACTCAAGGCATATGGGACTATGAGGTACGAAAAATATGAACTCCCTTTAAAGGGAGTGGTGTTGATGACATAACTAAAACCAAGATGTCAAGAACCTACTACAACGATGTTCCAAGGAACTCACATGATTAAGGTCGACAGGAAATGCTGCCGTGCCCAAAGGTGCTGTCTGAGTATGGCTGATTACAAAACGAAGCGGGGCTAAGCGATATCCGCGAAACAGCATCATCTCGAGGCGCTGCAGGAAGTTTCGGGACTAAAGATTAGAGAAGTGAGGGCGTTGGACAAAATTTACTACAAAGGACAGAATTAAAATAACTAGGCAGTTAACGAGAGATAACGAACCGTGAAGTCAACCCATTACCGCATGCACCTACCTCCACCTGTATAAACTTACACCATTTCAAAATAACGCAACATACCTAAACGCTCGACCTGATCGACAAAGGATCGACCAAATCAGTGAATGCAGAAACCCTAGCGTTGACAAATCCAATGGCTAGCAGTTCATCTAGTCTTTAAGTGTCTTTAGACTGTACTCTTTGTCAGAATTTGATGCAGTTTCAACTAAGGTTTATAAGCGAATCCAGTGATGAATGTCAACTTGATCATCCTTACGGGAGGCATTACATTACGTTTGGTTCAATTGCTTAACATGGCTAGCGGAAAAAGCAGAACTTGCTGGGGTTCTTATTGAAGGTAATGATTATAGTGAAGATGAAGCTACGGAAAACGTTATAGATATGAACATACATTTCTGATCACGTATAGTCTTAAATACAGAATTTGAACGACATAACCGTAATGAAGAAAATGATTCAGTTAAGTTCAGCTCATTTCAGTTTATTGAGGGAAATAGGCGTAAGCCTTTGAGCACCCCATTTGCAACGTTTAAAAATGTTTGGTGTACAGATAGATGTTCTGGGCTCAAATAGTTCGAACACGCCCATAATGGTGGGATAAAATGAGAAGGATTTACAGGGGGTGAGCACGACTTCTCATCGCTCTTGGTCATTTCGGAACATAAATATGTCAAGATTCTTTTTAAAACTTTGCGTGGATGATGACATCACAACATCTGCGGGAAGCTCATTCCAGGGTTTGACCACTCGAACAGAGAAGGAGAACTTCCGCACATTCAGCCTTGCCTTCTGAGAGCACAGTTTTAATGGGTGTCCTCGGAGAATGGTCGTGGTAGCAAATTCAAAAAAGTCCTCGAAGGCCAGACTGCAATCCAACCCCTTTACAATGCGGAAGGCTTGCAAGAGATCTCCGCGAAGTTGCCTGTAACTCAAAGGAAAGAGGTTCAGATTTACTAGGCGGGTTGCATAAGGAAGGAACTTTGACCCCTAACCATCTTCGTGGCTCTCCTCTGGACCCTTTCGAGGCAGTTTTGATCGTCAATAGCCCACGGCCTTCAAGCTTTATGCCGTACTCTAAATGCGGCCGGAAGAATGTTCCGAATGTCTTAGAGAAAGCTTCTTCGTCAAAGTCCATAAACGCACGCTTGATGGCGTACAGTACGGACATTGCGCTTTTTTCCACCCTCGAACAGTGGGCGGATGATTTAAAGGAACTCGTCGTTAGCACACCGAGGTCCCTTTGGGCTTCGACCTCTTGTAGGGCTGCAGCACCCAGAAAGTGGCCTCTTGTGCTGGCGGATCTGGGTGTGTTGCCTAGACGAAGTATGCTACATTTGGCAACGTTGAACCGCAGGAGCCAACGGTTAGACCACTCCTTCAACCAATTTAGGCTCATTCGTCCTCGTCGGCAGGACCCCGAATTACACTCCATATCTTCATGTCATCCGCAAACATTGTAACTTCGCCGTCTAAAGCTCTTGCGGCATCGTCCACGTAGATAAGGAACAAAAGGGGTCCCAATACTGAACCCTGGGGGACAACATTGTCGACCATAGCAGGATCTGACTTCCCTTGACCGATGCACACAATCTGCTGTCGACCCACAAGAAAGTTTTCGATCCATTTAAGGAAGTTGCCACCGATCCCTATTTTTTGTAGTCTATGTAAAAACAACGGAACAGCGCGCCTTTCGAATTCGGTTTGAAATTTCGACCTCCGAGGGATTTGCTTTTCCCGGGATTTCTGCCTACTGGAGGCTCTGCGGGCCCATTTGGATTAAGAAATTGAAGCGTAATCAGCAATTCCTCGAACGATCCACTCAGAACTCCGACAGAACTTTCTTTGGGACGACCATACTCCTTCGTATCAATTCTCTGCCAACAGCACCGCGGGGTTCTCCAGATCCAGAAGCGGCTGAGTCGTTTGATATTTAATTCATATTTTTGGCTTGGTTAAAAAGCTTCTCCTACACCTTTAAATACTTCGCCCATACCTAGAATCCCTTGCGTATCGTTTGAATTAATAACGGCAGTCGACAAAACACCATCAGGACAATGTGCGATTCGTGGGATTCGAACCCAGGTCCGCTAGACTATCGGCGCACGCCCAGCTGACTGAAATAAATAAGGGAGTAAACACTATTCGTAGTACAAACGACACTATGTATGAAGGAAAGTCAATTGAGAACGCCTTGCCACCTAGGATTAGCGCTCGTTCTCTTTATAGTTGCAACCGGGGGCCCGCAAAGCGCGCTAAAAGCGTTATCACAGGAAAACCTGTTAGTTACGAGGACGAGCCATGCACTGGATGCTCATTTATTCTGCTGAAAGTCCAAAAACTCGAAAAAGAGTTGACTGCTTTAAGGGAACTCGTGCAAGCGAACGATAGTGTGCAAAACGCGGTGAATAGCGCTAAAGTTAGCAAGAAAAGGGGAAAGAGCAAAACTCTAAAACAGACAAAGAACAAAGCGTGTGGAAAACCTCTGTGCAAGAGCGCCGATACCCAGGACGATTGGAAAATAGCAACGGAGTCTCTTGTTTCTATGGGAGACAACCCAAGCGAGCCATCAACTTCTCTCAGCCATTCCGCGTGTTCAACAGGACCCTCAGTTGGAAGTCAGGAAACAAGCTCATGGCAAGATGGAAAGGGTAAGCGCCACAACGGGAGTATAGAACCCCAGACGACTCCGGTGGATCTTCTGAGACCTTCAGCTGACAAGGCCACCGGAAACAGAAAAAAAGAACCCCTTGATCTTCAGCACTGCGTAGTCGTCCAGGGTCTATCGGAGTCGGATGCTCCTACCCCGAAGGAGAGGATCTCCGCTGACCTTAATATGCTTCAACACCTACTGAACGAAATGCTTAATTCGAATGAAAAGATAACCATTCGCGCAGCCTTCAGGATCGGAAAGAAGGTGAGCGAACAATCAGAAACTGTGCGGCCACGACCTCTGAAAATTGTTTTGAACAGTAAAGAGGAAGCTAGCTTACTTCTGTCCAGGAAAAGCAGCCTCCGAAACTTTCACAAGGAAGTATTTTTTCAGCCGGACTAGTCTCCAGCGGAACGTTTGAAACGCCGCGAACTGGTAACGGAGCTGAAGAGTAGACTTGCAGCGGGAGAGAGCAACTTGGCCATTTTCAGGCGACGAGTAATACAGAGGAACGCGATGTTGTTTTGGAACCAGCCAGTCATCATGATGGCGACAGCAACATAATATTGGCAAACCCGAGACAAACCGAACGAAGCAATGTCGAATGTTGCAAACTACAATTCTTTTACACCAATGCTCAGAGTCTGTTTTCCAAGCTTGACGAACTGAGAATACAGGTAGACGATACTCTTCCCGATGTTATAGCAAGAACAGAAACGTGGCTGTCAGAAGACGTTGGTGATTGCG